CTGGCCAACATGGCAAAACCACGCCTCTACTAAAAATACAAAAATTAGCCAGGTGTGGTGATGGGAGAGACTGAGGCAGGAGAATCGCTGGAACCCAGGAGGTGGAGGTTGCAGTGAGCCGAGATGGTGCCACTGAGCTCCAGCCTGAGCAACAGAGCCAGACTGTCTCAAATTTTAAGAAAAAGAAAAGCAAGTAGTTCCTGATGTTTGATATCTGGCCCTCTGGCTTCTCTTGGAAGCCTGAAGAGAGTGGCAGCCTGGGCCAGCCTCCCCTTAGTGGGGGTCAGCACAGCTACCACTGTGAGCGTAGACACCGGCCTTCTCCTCGGCCTGTGCGCTCCTCCCCGCCCCAGCCCCAGCTGGAGTTTGCCCTCCCAGCTTTATGTCTCCAGAGCAGCAGCTGATGAGGCTGGAGCCTCGTCTGAAATCTATAGGAAGATGCTGGCTTGGTTTGAGGTTTCCCAGAAGCAAACCCCAAGTCAAGGATGTGTGGGCAGCAGTGTATCTGGGAGGTGACCCTCGGAGATGGCTTTTGGGGAGAGGGGGAGTGAGGCAGGGCAGGGGGTGTTAGAGTGAGTCTCCCTGTGGGTGCCTGCGGTGCTCTGAGAAGCGGTACCAGCTGTGCCTCTGTACCATCCCCAGTGGGCGAGGGAGCTGGCGTTTGGCAGTGGGAGCGGGTAGCGCCTCGTGGCATGCGTGGCCTATGTGCGGGTGCAGTGTGCCCCAGCGGCCAGAAGAAGCCCTGGGACTGAGATGGGGGTGCAGCGGTTGGGCGTCTGGTCATTTTGCAGCAGCATGTGGCTCTGGCCCAGGGCAGGTGCCCAGCATCCCTGCAGGCCTCAGCAGCGCCCCGACTGCCCGGGGCAGTGCCTCCATGGTCTGGGAGCACCGGTGCTGGGGCCCAGACATTGCAGAGCTCACGCCCTTGCTTTGCCTTGCAGCCGCCAGAGCAGCCGCCCTACCCGCACCACCAGGGCGGCCCACCCCACTGCCCGCCCTGGAACAACAGCCACGAGGGCATGTGGGGCGAGCAGCGTGGCGACCCTGGCTGGAACGGCCAGCGCGACGCGCCCTGGAACAACCAGCCCGACCCAGCCTGGAACAGCCAGTTCGAGGGCCCCTGGAACAGCCAGCACGAGCAGCCGCCCTGGGGCGGGGGCCAGCGCGAGCCACCCTTCCGCATGCAGCGCCCCCCACACTTCCGGGGGCCCTTCCCACCCCACCAGCAGCACCCACAGTTCAACCAGCCTCCACACCCCCACAACTTCAACCGCTTCCCGCCCCGCTTCATGCAGGACGATTTCCCCCCGCGGCACCCCTTCGAGCGGCCACCCTATCCCCACCGCTTCGACTACCCCCAGGGGGACTTCCCTGCCGGTGAGTGCACGGGCGTGGGGAGGGCCTGGCAGAGAGGCCCACGGGCAGGCTGGTGGCGCTGTTTGTGGCCCTGGCGTGATCCCGAGTGTGAGTGCACGGGGACAGGCAAAGGGTCGTGGGACGTCTGAGGAGCCCAGCCGGGTTCTCGGGAAGTGGGACATAGACTCAGCCTTGCCGCACTGATTAGGCCGGGCTGGCTGCAGAGGTGGCAACTCCAATCCCCTCTTCCCAGCCGCGCCAGGAGTGCGGGCACTGTCTGTCCCTCAGCAGATGAGACAGATCTGACAGGGAAAAGGTTCTGGCCGTGGGTGGGCGTGGCGAGGGCAGGGCGGGGCTGCTTGTTTCTGCTGCTGCTTTCCTTTTGCATCAGTTTTCCCGCTGGGCACGGTGACTCACGCCTGTAATCCCAGCACTTTGAGAGGCCAAGGCGGGCGGATAACAAGCTCAGGAGTTTGAGACTAGCCTAACCAACGTGGTGAAACCTTGTCTCTACTAAAAATACAAAAATTAGCCTGCACCTGTAATCCCAGCTACTCAGGAGGCTGAGGCAGGAGAATTGCTCGAACCTGGGAGGCAGAGGTGCAGTGAGCTGAGATTGCACCACTGCACTCCAGCCTGCAACACAGCAAGACTCTGTCTCACAAAAAAAAAAAAAAAAAAAAAAAAAAATTTGGTGTCTGGTGCTTATGGCCGCAGCTGCTCAGAAGGCTGAGGTTTCGGTGAGCCATGATCACGCCACACACTGGGCGACAGACCTTGGCTCAAAAACAAAAACAAAACTAGTTTTGTTAAGTTTCTTTTTAAAAAATTTTTTTTTCTTAATTTTATTTATTTATTTATTTATTTAAGATGGGGTTTCACCATGATGGCCAGGCTGGTCTTGAACTCCTGACCTCAGGTGATCCACCCACCTCGGCCTCCCAAAGTGCTGGGATTACAGGTGTGAGCCACCGCGCCTGGCCCTTAATTTTATTTTAAATAGAGATGGGGTCTTACTATGTTGGCCAGGCTAATCTCAAGCTCTAGCTCAAGCAATCATCCCATTTCAATCTCTGGAGTAGCTGGGTCCACAGGTGTGAGCCACTGAGCCCAGTATCTTTTTTAAATTTTATTTATTTGTAGTCTTTTAGTGCCTCTTTTGTTTTGTTGTTTTTTTGTTGTTTGATTGAGAATGAGTCTCACTCTGTCACCCTAGCTAGAGTGCATGGTGTAATCTCTGTTCACTACAGCCTCCTCCTTCTGGGTTCCAGTGATTCTTCCACCTCAGCCTCCTGAGTAGCTGGGATTACGGGCGTCTGCCATCATGCCCAGCTAATTTTTGTGTTTTTAGTAGAGACAGGGTTTCCCCGTGTTGGCAGGCTGATCTCAAACTCTGGCCCCAAGTGATCCACTCGCCTTGGCCTCCCAAAGTGCTGGGATTACAGGCGTGAGCCACTGCGCCTGCCCTTCTGTCTTTAAATACATTTCTGATTATAAATGCATCTTGGAGACTGTTTGGCACATTTATTGCTTTTATTTTTGGCTTGGGCTGACATCATAAAGTCCCGCAGCCTGGGTGGCTTAAACAGAATGTACGGTCCTAAGGATCTGGGGGCTGGAGGTTGGAGGTTGTGGTGTGGCAGGTTCGGGTTAGTGTCTTGGAGGCCTGTCTCCTTGTCTCATAGGTGACCGGCTTCTCTCTACGTGTCTGTGTCTGAATCTCTTCTTATAAGGACACTAGTCACATTGGATGAGGGCCCACCACCATTATTTCATTTTAACTCGTGTGTCTTGAAAGTCCCATTCTCCAAGTACAGTCTCATCCTGAGCTACTGGGGGCTAGGACTTCGGCGTATGAATTCGGAGGGTCACAACTTAGCCGTCACATTGCAGTTTTCAGGTTTTGTGGTTCTCTTCTCTCAACCTCAAGCTCCGTTGGCTGTGCCTGTTGGAGCCCGGCTCCTCCCTGCCTCACTGCCTGGCCTTGAGCAGTGAGAGAAGGTGCTGGGCAGGCTCCCAGGAGGGCTTGGCCTCCTGGCCCCTCACTCAGCCCTGCCCCTCTAGCACTTGTCACCTGGGAGATCCGACTGGCCTGCATTCCTGAGACAGTCTCTGTTTTGCAGAAATGGGGCCCCCTCACCACCACCCTGGCCACCGCATGCCTCATCCTGGCATCAATGAGCACCCACCCTGGGCTGGGCCCCAGCACCCTGACTTTGGCCCTCCTCCTCACGGCTTCAACGGGCAGCCCCCACACATGCGGCGACAGGGCCCACCCCACATCAACCACGACGACCCCAGCCTGGTCCCCAACGTGCCCTACTTCGATCTCCCTGCCGGGTTGATGGCCCCCCTCGTGAAGGTAATGCCCCTTGGCAGGCTCCAAGCTGAGCACGTTCACCTTGCTGTCCCGTTTCTCCCCGTGAAAAGTGAACACGTGGGACCAGGTGCCTTCTGGGGCACCTCTTCCACATCTCCCACTCACTGCGGACCCTCATCGGTCAGTGGGAGGGTCTAAACCTGGGTTGCACAGTGTGGCCGTGAGTGACGCTGAGTCCGCCCTGCCTCTCCTGTCCCTCCTGCCACAGGGAGCTGCAGCCACTCGGGGTCGGCTGGGCTGTGAGACACGAGTACTCCCTTTGTCCCTCTTGGTCTAGGCCCTCAGAAGCCACCTTGTCCCAGGGCTGCTGGAGGGGATGTCTCAGGAGGAGCCACCTGTGAGCTGTGGCTGTCAGGCACACAGGGAGGGGGTGGCCCTGGAGTAACTGGGCAGGGCTGGCAGCAGCTGGCACCACTGTGGGGTGGCCAGAGCATAGGGCAAGAGGAGGTGAGGCGAGAAGGGGCCGGGGCTGGGGCTCGTGGGCTCCAAGGGGATGCTGGTCACTGCCACTTCCTACGCCCTCTCAGACGTCCACCTGGAAGTCCAGGCAGGCTTCATGGAGCCATGGGCAGCAGGGAGAGCTGCAAGCAGGGGGCCCAGACAAGCTAGGCAGGCCAGCAGGCTCCAGGGCTGCGGCCGAGTGTGTTCCGACAGAGGGCCCACCTCATGTCTGTGAATAAACTGGGGTTGTTATTCATGTCACCTGAGTTTGGAGACCATGTCTCCTGTGGGTGGTTTCCTGAAGAGAGAACCCTGTGATTGTCATCAGCCTCAGAGCAGCTGTGACCTTCCATGGTTGGTGTGGCTGAAGTCCTATGAGAGAGAGGGGTTCCCCAAGAGGGAAGGATAAGGACCTCTGGTGCCCAGAGCACCCCTGACACTGACCCCACTCCTTGCGTACCCTGGGTGGGCTTGAGAGGGCTCCGGCCAGGCATGGTGACAGCTGGGTTCTCTGCTGCAGCTGGAAGACCATGAATACAAGCCTTTGGACCCTAAAGACATCCGCCTCCCTCCTCCAATGCCGCCCAGCGAGAGGCTGCTGGCCGCGGTGGAAGCCTTCTACAGTCCCCCATCCCACGACAGACCCAGGAACAGGTATGGGGCCTGGGTTGGTGGGGAGGGAGGAGGAGGGAGGAGGCCTCTGTCCCTCTCCCGCTCCCAGCTACCTCCTGCCCAGGCTAGAAAAATGTGGCTGTCCCACAGGAGAGAACCACCCCCCACCCTGAGTGACAAGTTTGTGTCACAGGCACAGCACACACCTGGCCCTCAGTGAAGGTCATTTTAATGGAGATACATGAGCAGGAGAAAGTATGGCAGGTGTGGCACAGGGCACGTCTGAGAAGCAGCAGGCATGTCTGCCTGTGAATCAGTGTTCCTGTTCCCCAGTGCCACGGACCATGGGTGCCCACGTCAGCAGAACAGCCAGGTGGCAAGGGTGTGGGCACCAGAGGAGCCCCTGGGCTGCAGGAGGACGGGCCCATGGGAACACTGAGCCAAGGTCCACTGCGCCCGTAGTCGAAGCCCTGTCCCCAGTGTGAGCATGTCCTGCAGGCAAAAGGGAGAGGGCCTGGCGCACGGCCACAGGGCCACGTACTCTCAAGGGTTCTGTGGGTTCACTCCTGATGACTTTTTCACGAGTGCCCGGTGCGTGGGTGTTGTGTGGTCACACAGGGGATACCATGTCTTGCAGTGAAGGCTGGGAGCAGAACGGTCTCTACGAGTTCTTCCGAGCAAAAATGCGGGCCCGGCGGAGGAAAGGCCAGGAGAAGAGGAACAGGTAAAGCTGCAGGCGCCTGCTGTGGCCGGGCAGCCAGGGCCCACAGCCTGTGACGACGGGTAGGCTGACAGCGGCCCCAGACACGCTGACCACGTCTGTCCTCACACAGCCTGTGCCTGAATGAACACAGCAGCAAGTTCAGCCATACTGTTTAATACCATTGCTGTGGCTGTGGCGTCGTATCCACACCAGACCCCCTGCATCTGGGGTCTTCCAGGAACCTAAGGGCCAGGGTGGGCTGGGTCCAGGCCACAGGGAGACAGGCCACCCGGGCACCCGATCATCAGGCCTCTCCCTGCAGCGGACCCTCAAGGTCTCGGAGCAGATCCAAGAGCCGAGGGCGTTCTTCCTCCCGCTCCAACTCAAGATCCTCCAAGTCGTCAGGCTCGTACTCAAGGTCAAGGTCGCGCTCCTGCTCCCGCTCCTACTCCCGTTCCAGATCCAGGTAGGCAGAGGCTGCCTTGGGAGGACAGTGCCCAAGGCCTCTTCCTGCGGCCTCCCCACAGCGCCTGGCTGCTGCTGACACGTGGACACTCTTCCCTGCAGAAGTCGGAGCAGGTCGCGCTCCTCCAGAAGCCGTTCCCGGTCCCAGTCGCGGTCCCGGTCCAAGTCATACTCCCCAGGAAGGAGACGTCGATCACGGTCCAGGAGCCCCACTCCACCGTAAGATCCTATCTTAACTGCCATGCTGGTAACGCTGGGACTCTGCGGTGCTTTGCTGTGAATATGGAAGCATTGGTGGTTAGGAGCCCGCCAGCATTAGCCTAGGGACAGGGGCACCCCTCACCACCTCCCCCACAGCAGTCACTTGGCCATGCCTGAAGCGGTAGCTGGGGTCTGCTAACCGCCATCAGGGTTCACTGTGTCCCACCCTCGATGCTGAGTGTGCGGTGGGTGGGCACCAGCGAATGCAGCCCCCTTATCTGGCTGATGCAGGATAAACAGGTGTAGGCACAAAATCTGCCTACGGTGTTGCCTGGTGATGGTGAGCACACGCGAGCCGCAGCTCAGGCCCCATCACTGTCACGCCAATAAATGTCTCAGTTACTCCTTAAAAGAATAACCTGTCTCGATTTTAGTTCCTCTGCTGGTCTGGGTTCTAATTCAGCACCTCCCATCCCTGACTCAAGGCTCGGAGAAGAGAACAAAGGCCATCAGATGCTGGTGAAAATGGGTAAGAGGGGAATGGGGACGGCTCGGGAAGGGTCTTCACGCGTGCTGGGCCTGGCACGTGGGGATGGATGGAGTCAGGCCGGTTCTGATTCTGCCCAGAGCCTCTAGACAGGGCTGGCTTGCGGGGTTCTCCCCATCTCCCATGTCTACACCACCTGCCTGTGTATTCAGCCCCCCATGTGCACCCGCATCCGCCCCGCCCTGTTGCAGTCGTGATCATGCATCTCTTTCCAGGCTGGAGTGGCTCTGGCGGCCTCGGTGCGAAGGAGCAAGGGATCCAGGACCCCATCAAGGGCGGGGACGTCCGGGATAAGTGGGACCAGTATAAAGGCGTGGGCGTGGCCCTGGACGACCCCTATGAGAACTACCGCAGGAACAAGAGCTACTCCTTCATCGCCCGCATGAAGGCCAGGGACGAGTGCAAGTAGGCACCAGTGCGGGGAGCCGAGCTGGTGGCCAGTGGTGCCGGCTGTGGGACCTTCCTGGCGGACTGGCAGTGGAAGATCACGGTGACAGCTCAGTTCTCCCACCATCTCCACGAGTGGAGGGCCCCACAGGAAGAGAAGGAAGACCAGCGCATGCCCAGTGGGAGCGCCGTGCTCGCGGCAGCCACCAGGGCCCCAGGCTCGTTTTCCTTTACAGTGAAGCAAGAAACACAAGACCCTCCACCCACCAAGTAAGACTTCTTCACCCACGAAGGGATGGATGCGCATCTGCCCTAAGTCAGAGCAAAGCCTCCTCTCAGGCTCCAGGAGAAGTGTGTACAGCAGGGGTCGGCCCAGGCCACAGCTGGTGCCCCAGCTCCCCAGCTCCTGGCACCTGGCACCTATGTGCCCTGACCTGCCTTCCCCTCAGCTGCGTAGGGAGAATGCCGAGGCCCAGTGCCATGACTGCCCACAGATGATTGAAAACAGAAACACAAAACTTTGACTTGGAAAGTCAAGCAGGGTTTTCATTTTTATTCCCCTTGGTTTAGTTTTAGAAGAATATTGACCTGAGAGGAGGCCCAGTGAGATTCTCAAACCCGATTCCTTGAAGGCCTACTGGCCCTTAGGTATTTTAGTTGTGTAAGTTGATTTTTTTTTTCTGGAATGTTAGCCATGCGCTGTTGTCTGGGAAACAAAATTCTAACAGGAAACCAGCTTAAGGCACTTCAGGTCAGATGCTGCCCTCAGAGTCCATGCTGGTCGCGTCCCCTGCTTGGGTTTCGCACTTAGAAGAACCTCGCACTGGCTGGCGTGCACACGACGACCCAGTCCCATCCAGAGCGTGGAGCCCCCCCACCCCCAGCCAGGGCCTCCCACTCCATCATTTCACACCCCACAGGGAGAGGAGTTGCACCTGCCGGAGCTGGTACACACCTACTGGGAATCGGCCACACCGCGTGTCGGTGGGCAGCCCAGTGCAATGCCATTCATTTGTACAAAAACATTTTTGAAAAATTCTTTTCAATAAGATGCAAAATCCTCCAACTTTTCAACCCAATGTGATAAAATATTTGATTCTGTTCTAGATTTCCTGTAGCTGTGAATTGTTAAAACGTTATGATTCAGGATAAAACGTAAACACGTGCTATTAGCAATTTCTTGTGGATTTCATTGTTTTGCCTTCAAATAAAGCCTTTTTTTAAAGACGTTTCTCCCCCCTTGTGTAAGTCAGAAGTGTGCTCAGGCTGAGTGAGGAGACGCATGTCCTGGTTTGAGCTGTGCCGCTTGGGGTCAGGCTATGCCCAGTGGCTCACATGGCGTCCCCAGCATGCTGGCCTGCTCTCATGTCCTTATCCTCGAGCAGGGCTTCTCCCATCCACCCTGCCTCCCTCGGGCTTGCTGGGAAGCCAGGACCTGCCTGGGTGGAACTGCTCTGCAGAGGCTGGTGGCCCCTCGCCCGTGAGTGAAGACAGCTCCACTGAAACTCCCTTTCCACTGGCCTGTGGTGTCATAGAGCTGGGCGTGCTGTTGGGAGAGCTCACTAAGCTGGGATTTGGCTCAAAGGAATACAGGACCCTCACTCCAGCACTACCTGCCCCCACCACGGAACTGGATGCTGAGGGAGGGAGAGAGGGTGTGATTGCGCGCACGCACACCCCGAGTACACAGGATGGGGTACCTTTCCTTAGACATCACATCGAGTTCCACCTTCTGTGCTCACAGCTCCTTGGTCACCTCCTCCAGGGCGTCCTCCATGGTCAGCGGGGCAGGCCTGTGGCGCCTAATGTACTGTCAGGCAAAAGACAGACCGCGCTGTCAGCACCGCCACCTCAGCACACTCGGTGCTGGAGGGAGTGGAGCCGGCACCTGTCCCCCGCAGCAGGCTCCTGTCAGGCTGACAGAAGCATAAAGCATAAAACAGGCTGTGTGTGATAGGCTAACACACAGGTGTGCCCAGGGGCTGTGGGAACACAGGGTACAGGGACACCCAGGTGAGCCCTGCGATGGGTGAGCCCTCACGGAAGAGAGGGGCGCCTATGGGTGTCCTCAGAGCAGGTGGGATCTGGGAGAAGTGCCTGGAGCAGGCAGCTGGGAGCTACGGTGGGCTGCAGGCAGGTGCCATGGACAGGTGACTTCTGCCTGCACTGCATGGGCTGATGGACGCCCAACAGAGGCATGAGTTCAAAGTCCCCAGAGGGTAGCAATGAGCAAATTTCAGAATGTAGAGACCCATGGGACTCAACCTGCCCTCTCCCGCAGATAAACCACAGGAAACGAGAGGCCTGGGGTGCAGGGGGCCCTGAGGGCAGCAGTTCCAAACCAGCGTCCCTGGGCACACCCCGCCTGCTTGTGGGCCCACCATCGCTTTCATGAGGCTTCCCATTTTTGAGATGGAGTCTCGCTCTGTCGCCCGGGCTAGAGTGCAGTGCCATGATCTCGGCTCACTGCAACCTCCACCTCCCGGGTTCAAGCGATTCTCCTGCCTCAGCCTCCCAAGTAGCTGAGACTACAGGTGCGCGCCACCGTGTCCGGCAAATGTTTGCATTTTTAGTAGAGATGGGGTTTCACCATGTTGGCTGGGCTAGTCTCAAACACCTGACCTCCAGTGACCTGCCCACCTCGGCCTCCCAAAGTGCTGGGATTACAGGCCTGAGCCACTGTGCCCGGCTGGTAATCAGACAAATTCTTAGAGGGTACAAAAGAGGTGAGGGTGATCACTAAGGAGAAGAGCTGGGCCTCCCCTGGTCCCATCTCAGGCATCTCTCAGGAGGCTCAGTGAAAGGGACAGGACCCCTCCCACGGGAGAAGACACTACCATGGATAGTAGGTCCCTTTAGTCTGAGGTCACGCGGCCCAAGCAGGGCTGGCTGCAAGGTGCTGGAGCTCAGCACCCCACCCTGTACTGGCTCTTGCCACAGGGTGGTAAGAAATCAGGCTCCCTCCACATCCCTGCAGCCCTGGGCTGAGCGCTGGAGCCTGGGCCCCGGCCACCATCCCTTCAGCTGGCATCTGGAAGCTGCTGTGCCCCTACTGCCCTGCCCCGCGGGGAGCCGCGCTCACCTCTTTGGCTTCCTCCAGGGTGTGGTAGTGGAAGGAGTCTGCGTCCAGGGAGTGCAGGAGGGAGGCGTGCAGGTGCCGGCTGGCCTGGATGAACTGCTGCGTCAGGCCCAGCTGCTGCTTCAGCATGTCGTGCAGCGCCAGCACGGCCGGGCTGTAGGCGGTCAGGGCTGCCCCAGCTCCGTGTCACTCAGTGGCTTCACCGGGGCCCCACAAATTCTACTACCCTGCCCCTCCCCCACCGCTCAGGTGCCAGGCTGCCTTCTGAAATCTTTTTTTTTTTTTTTTGGAGACAGGGTCTCTCAGTCTCCCAGGCTGGGGTGCAGTGGTACAATCATAGCCCACTGCAGTCTCGAACTCCTGGTGTTTAAGCAATACTTCAGCCTGGAGTCTCCTGAGTAGCTAGGACTAAAAATGCATGTCCCTATGCCCGGCTCTTTTTTTCTGAGATGGAGTTTTGCTCTGTTGCCCAGGCTGGAGTGCAGTGGTGTGATCTCGACTCACCGCAACCTCCGCCTCCCAGGTTCAAGCAATTCTCCTGCCTCAGCCTCCCGAGTAGCTGAAACGACAGGCATGTGCCACCACGTCCAGCTAATTTTGTATTTTTAGTAGAGACAGGATTTCTCCTTGTTGGTCAGGCTGGTCTCCAACTCCCAATCTCAGGTGATCCGCCCACCTTGACCTCCCAAAGTGCTGGGATTACAGACATGAGCCACCAGGCCTGGCCACCTGGCTCGTTTTTTAATTTTTTTTTTTTTTTTAGAGATGGGATCTTATTATGTTGCCCAAGCTGGTCTCAAAATCCTGGCTCTGAGCTATTCTCCTGCCTCAGCCTCCCAAAGTGCTGAGATGACAGGTGTGAGCCACCATGCCCGGCCAAAAATTATGTTTTTCAAAAAAACAAGTTTTCTTATAACCAGTACATTTTAATATCATCACAATGTTTTTTAATTAAGAAAACTGAAGGCCAGATGTGGTGGCTCATGCCTATAATCCCAACGCTTCAGGAGGCCAAGATTAAAGGATCACTTGAGGCCAGGAGTTCAAGACCAGCCTGGGAAACATAATGAGACTTATCTTTACAAAAAAAATTTTTGAATTAAAAAAAAGCCAGGCGCGGGGCCGGGCGCGGTGGCTCAAGCCTGTAATCCCAGCACTTTGGGAGGCCAAGGCGGGTGGATCACGAGGTCAACCCCGTCTCTACTAAAAAAAACTACAAAAAAATTAGCTGGGCATGGTGGCACGTGCCTGTAATCCCAGCTACTCAGGAGACTGAGGCAGGAGAATTGC